GCCTGAAAGGAAGAGCTGGCTGTTCCTGCCCACACTGGGAGAGACGGAGCATCCTAGGTCACTGGCTCCTGCTGCTGTAATAGGGAACCCTCACCCTCTACTTACACCACCACCCTTTCTCAGACCCCCAACCATGGTTTTTTTGTGTGTGTCAACTGTGCCATTTTTATTTTATTCCTTTCCCTACTCTTCACACAGAGAAATAAAAGTGTAGAAATAGTTGGTCCTCTCTCTAGTCTTAGTCATCAGAATGGAGGAAAACTGCACTCACTGCCTGGGGGCTGTGCTCTTCATGTGAAGACTGTCCTGCAGCTAATCACTCCAGCTGTCCTGGAGGGGAGGAGGAGGACTTGGGCAGAGACCCCAGAGGCTGCTTGGCAGAGTCCTGGGATGAAGTTTAGGTTTTCAGGCACCAGCAGAGTTCTCAGGTTGGTGTGGTGTTAACTGGGTTACACCTGTGATGGAGTCACAGACCCATTGTGAGCCCTCTGTGGGGTAGCACTCATAAGCTCTGTGGGCCACTTGCTGTGCAGTCATGTTGGCTGGGGAATCCATGTGTAAGTCTGAGGGCAGACCTTCATAGGAGGAGGTTTGGTTAGGGCTCTGTGAGGAGTCTGAGGACATGGCTTCGAAGTGCTTTGTAGGCACTTTGTATGGAGACAAGATCTGCCTTGCCCTTTTTGGGGGGCGGGGGTTTCTTTGTATTGCTTTGGAACCCGTCCTGGCACTCACTCTGTAGACCAGCATGGCCTCAAACTCACAGAGATCTGCCTGCCTCTGCCTCCCGATTAAAGGCATGTACCACCACTGCCCAGCCTTGCCCTTAATTTTTAAGATTGATTTTTTGAAAGTTTTTTTGTTTTTTCAGTTCTATTTATGTGTGTAGCCATGTGTGTGCAGGTACCTCCAACGGCCAGAAGAGTGTTAGTAACATGGGTGGTTGTGAGCCTTGTGATGTGGATGTTGGGAACCAAACTCCCCCCTTCATGTGGAAGGGCTGATTTTCAGCTGGCTGTATAACTCCTTTGGTTCAAAGCATTTTTTACTGGAGCATGTAATGGTGTGACTAAATTCCAGTCAAAATGACATGGGAAGAAATAGAACTCACAACGTACCCCAGGGAAGGCATGATCGTCCTCTCTGTTCTCTGGAATGTAGCCCAAATGTCTGGATTAGGGGCTGTCATCTCAGACCAGGGAAGTCATGGTGTAGGCCAGGCAAGGCAGAAGCGTAAAACAGCCTGGATCCCTCACACTGAACAGCCGGCCGTTACTGGTGACTGGGGAAGTGTTAACTGACTGGAGTCTTCTCTTGAAGTTCACCCCAATTCTGATAAAAGGAGAAGGGTAGACCAAAAGCCCCCCAAAAAGGAACATGGGACTTAGAGATACATTGTTTACTAGGGTGGGTCTCACAGGAAGTGGCACTTGGGTGACACGTGACTCACCTGGATGGGAAGCAACTGTGGTGACTGATTTTATCAGTTCTGCCCTCGTGTTCCTGAGCCCTTGTTTTATTGGCGCTTGTGGGCTGTGGGGGCCAAGGACAGGATCCTGCAGCTGTGCTGCATGCCCTTGAATGGAGTTTCCCTGGGTGAGCACTGGGCTAAGAGTCTGACTTTAATCCAGTCCTTACCACTTCTACAAACTGACGCACACAACTTGGGAGTCTGGATACTTAGCACTGATGAAAGCAAGTTAGAAATTCAGGAACACATTTAATGGGGTTTCCAGGGAACTGTCTCTAAAATAATATTTGTGTGGCGTCGCCTTAAGCACTATCACTCAGCTTTCCTTTCTTGATAGTGACTTTAAAGACAAGGGACATACCACTCAGAAGTATCCACTTGGGCGAACATGTACACAGAGCTGTAGGATTCACTGGCATTAAGTGTGGCTGATTTCCAGGATAGGCCTGGTGGAGGAGGATGTAACCCTGGTCATGAGATGAAGATACTGAAATCCTAGCAGGGGTGCTTGGTGTCTGGTTCATGGGTTAGAAGCAGCTAAAGACTGCTGAGAGGCCCAGCACTTAAGAGTGTTGTTAGAAGGGGCAGGAGAGGCAGCTTCTCTGTCCCTAGAAGATGCCCTCTCATCAGGGCAGTGTTAGGCCTGGATGAAGCTTTGCTTCAGTGAACCTGTTTCTCTGGACCTTGACCCTGGAGCTGGTTCAGGGTACAGACACTATGTGGAGCTAAGATGAGCTTAACCACCCCACTTTCTCCTGTGAGTCTTAGTCTCCAGAACTGCACAGTTGTGTTCTGGTCCTGTTCATAGCACCATTCATGGAACACATGCAGAAGTTTTATCTTCTTTCCCAGTAATTCCGATAATCTGGCTCTTCCAACATATTTTGCCAGCATCTTTTTTGTACTCATCCCTTCTACTTTGACCCAAGAAACCCAGGTTGCAGGCAAGGGTGTGGCCATACCTTTGACTAGTGAGTAGGTTCGGGAGTCGTGCTAGGGTTATAGTATTTTCACCTCCCACCTCATACGCTCTGCTGTATGGGCTGCAAGGAGTTCCAGGGAGAATTACCATGGCTCTCCTGTTGGATGAAGACACGTGACACACATTCACGAACAAGGACAGAGTCCTGCTGCTCATCAAGATGGATGTAAGACATCAGGCCGTCTGTTCCAAATGGCAACAACAGGTCAGGAAACCTCCATCAGGCCATGCATTTGCCTATGGTAGAGCGTGTGCATGCCTCTGCAGGGTGCTCCAGGATGGTGTGGATCCTCACCAAATAAGGTCGAGAACAGTTTGTGTCCGGGAGTTTAGCTGAGGCTGAGGAAATCTGTGCTTGTTCACCTTGCTGACAGATTTCTCCCCTTTGTTCACTTCTGCTCACTCTACGCCAGCATCACTCACTCTCCCTGTTTCTCCTGTGGCAGCCCACAGTTGCCCCACAGACATCAGCACATCAATGTTTGCACTTTGTTGACGCCATCAGGCCAGGGACCATCTAATCTTTGCCAGCAGGATGCCTAGGCAGGTGGATCTGAATTGTAGTTCAGCCAGGACTGCGTAGTGAGACTCTGTCTTGAAAAGATTTGTCTTCTTTCTGTTCCGCGTGACTGTTCAGGAAGTGTAATGCGTCTCACATGCGGGAGCAAGCGCCGATTCAGGCAGGATAGTGCTTCCTCAGCCAGCACTTCCCTGCTCTAACGTAAGATGCTTCCATGGCTTCCATATTCTCCAGGTCAGCACACTGTCATGCATAGGGTAAAAGGGGCCAAGGAAAGAACACCCTGCCTTTGACTTGACCCCAGGACCAGGACTTGAAATCCGACCAATCAGAGTCACCAATCCCAAGCCATCCTGGAACGCTCCGCCAACCCCACCAAGAAACCCTACGTAGTTCTGTACTATGTTCAGTTTTCTGTTGCTTTTCACCCCAGAGGCAGCCACCCTCCTGGATTTTTCTCAGTGAAGTCTCAAGTGAGGTTTGTTATGCGGTATTATACTTTTTGCTAGAGGCCAACTGTAACAACTTTCCCTGGAGCTTAGCAGAGCTATAACACTTTCTCCGGGGAAACTCCCCTAGAGGAGCAGGGCAGAGATGCTGCTGTGCTCACAGTGACTTTGGTGTTCCTTGGCTCCCAGCTGACAGGATACCTTTCCATCAGAGCTGCAGCACTTACGTCATCTTCAAGGCTTGGTCCAGAATGTAAGCTTCACAGCCTAGATGAAAAGTATCCAGCAGTTCTGGAGCCAAGGAATACCACAGAGTCACAAGCATTGCAGGTCTGCAGGGAAAGGTTTTTCCAACGGAAGTGTTTCAACTCTGCACCTTTTGTTGGGGGGGAAGGGGGCTCCCCAGGAAAAAAGTGTTACAGCACTGCTCTGCTCAGCTCCACTCTGTTCTGCTCCACTGAGTGGGAAGTGTTAGATTTGGCTCTGGTGAAACTGTTGCACCACACCATACAAACCTCCCACAAAAGATTTGTTGGAAGAGAAAAAAACCCAGAACAGTGGCTGCCTTTACTCAGCACAGAAGCAGCCACCAGTGAAAGCAGGGCTTTTTTTTGGGGGGGGGGGGGTGGGGGGGAGAATTCAAATTCTAAACTTGGAACAAGCTCAGTGATTGAGTTTTCAAATCTTGAGCTTGGTGGGATTCTGTGGTCAGACTCGAGGGCAAACTCAGTGATTGGTAGGATTTTGTGCTCAGGGATTGATGGGATTTCAAGTACTTTGCCCTGGTCAAGGGTAGGCTGTTTTTCCTTGGCCCAGGTCTCAGGGTCAGGGTGTTCTTTCTCTGGCCGTTTTTACCCTACAGAGAAGCCTCTATTCCTGAAGGGAGTTTTCCTTAGTCGTCTATGGAGCCAAGGAATCATTGCCAGGAGGATCTACCTCACACAGATGGAGAGCTCTGGGCAGAACCTATCTCTTTCTCTCTGATTTCTGTCTTCAGACATGTTTTAGTGTCTCCTGAGATCCACTGTCTATCTCGTGTCAACATAGTAAATCCAGTGTAACAGGAAGGACTTCAAGCAAGTGTTTCTGGGGCTTGCTTACCTGACTTATGTCTCCCAATGTTTCAATATTGAGGAAAATACGTTGATCTCTGTGGTAGAGAAACCAGAAACCCCAAAGCATCCTTTAGATAGAAAATATCCATGTTGTCACTTAGATGGAGTTCTGCCTCATCTGAAGAACTCTTGTCTCAAGCAGCCTGATGTGAGAATGCCTAATCAATTTAGAATTCCATGTCATCACAGAACAGTGGAACAGCTCTAGAGCTGTAGACAATTCCGAAACAGCAAGGAAGAACACAAGAAAGAGAAAGTGAATCTTCAGACCTGCCATCTTCTTTGACTGGGTACTCCCTCTGTGGCTCTCCATGTTGTCTAACCCAACCTTTTCATCATATTTTGCGAGGACCTCAGAGCAGCTCCCTTGCTAGTTCATAGAAATCAGCTGTTTCTGTCTTTATTAGAAAGTTTGACTCTCAGCACACCCCACCAGAAGTCAACAGGCTTAACAGT